CCTCCCCGCCCCCCCCCCCCCCACCCCACCCCCACCCCCCACCCCCCACCCACACACACACACACAAACACTCCAAAAGGGAAGTTACACTCTGAACATTCAAACTTATTTTGGGCACGACAGCTGCCCCTAATTCTCTATGCACATGTAGGTATTCGTTCAGTAGCCCACTTCAACACGATATGTTTGCATTTGAACTTTTATTGACACAGTAATTGTGACTGTCGATCCAACTCACTTGTAAAGCACTCGAACAACCCTATTCCCATTTTATACACGCGTACAAAGAGAGTAAAAGAACTCCACGCACCCCAGCGCGACCGTATCATACACAATTGAAACGACAAATACGTGCAATTAGCCAAACACTTAAAACGCATGCAGTGGACCAGCTTAACATGAACAACTGCGGGCTTAGCGTTGCGCCCTGGCTACCTCCTCCTGCCTGACACAGGTGAAGCCGGACAGACACAACCACAACACAGTGTCATACATGTCAAAACACCACAACGCCACGTCCGTCCCAAATCGTCCCATTCCGTAACCTCCAAGGAACTTTGCTTGTCCCAAATGGCTACAAAATTCTCAAAAGTACCTCTCTGGTATGGGCGAAGCAGCTCCTATAGTCAATGCTGTTCTATTCAGGTCATGAAAAATACCTGTATCAAATATTGCCCTGCGGACTAATTGAGTCGTGCTTCTGTACAAACATGTACCACACTCAACTGACCTTCTCATGGTGTTTGCTTTTACTGTGTTTTCCTTCTACAGTCAAACCCCGTTGTGTCGAAGTCGAATTCGAAGGGGGGCAACTAAAATACTTCGAGATATCCGAGGTTCGACACAACCAAAAAAGATACATAAATAAGGAATACGCAGGGACCAAGCGTTTACTTCGAGACAAACTTAAGTTCGACACATCAACGTTCGACACAACGGTGTTTTGATTTAACGGCATACCTTTACCCAAACATTATTTGGAGGTTAATTAAAGCACAATACCACGGTAACCCATCCAGACATGAAATGGATTACACAAATAGATATTGCACCATCATGAACTTATATCTTCTATTGCTCAACAGAAGGGAACGAGCGAGTGGCTACAGCAACGCCTTAACATATAGTAACAATGAGCATTGGAGCTGCCACAAAAAGAAAGTTTTACCGGTTTGTACGGTCATAAAAATACAGAATGTGAAGCGGTGTAAGTTCAAATGACGTTATAACATTAATACATTTGTTCGGGGCGGGGTAGCCTTGTGGTAAAAGCGTTCGCATGTCACAACCTAGACTGACTTCAGTTCTCCTAGAGGGTACATTTCTGGTGTACATCACCTCACTTTAAGTGGTTGTTGGTCGGGCGTAAACAAAGGTTATAAAGGTTAAAATGGGTCTATATGGATATTAGTCACGTACCCTAGGCCGGGACCAGGCCCTTGGGTACATATTTATACACCTGGCAGAGAACAGTAGGTCGTATCTATACACCTGGCAGAGACCAATGACCCGTATCTATACACCTGGTCGACACCATTAACCTGTATTTATACAACTGGTCGACACCAGTAACCCGTAAAATATACGACTGGTCGAGACCAGTGACTCGTATCTAAACAACTGGTCGAGACTAGTAACCCGTATATATACACAACTGGTCAACACCAGTAACTCGTATATGTACAACTGGTCGAGACCAGTAACCCCTATTTATACACCTGAGCTAAAAGATTATACTGGTGAAACGGCACATGAAACAACGTCAGGTCACGTAGATCTACGTTTGTCTCTGTGAATGTCTTCCCACGATATATGGAGTGAGATCATGATCAGGTAATGATGGGGTGTGGCGTCTGTGTTTCCTTGTTGCCAAAGGAAAACGATACATCACACTAGATCCTGACTCTTGGGTGATGTATGGGGATAGTTTGCTGTGGGGTATTTGAGAATGACAAGACATATTCCAAATACGTGTCGGAGGAGACCTGTCATTACCGGAGTACGCGACGCTGCTTTTTTTTTTCATTTTGCGCCCAACGAATAATCGAGACTGGTTATTCACTGATGTTGACCGTGAAGATCCGGGTTAGAATAGGTCTTCAGCAACCCATACTTGCCGTAAAAGGCGACTATGCTTGTCGTAAAAGGCGACTAACGGGATCGGGTGGTCAGGCTCGCTGACTTTGTTGATACATGTCATCGATCCCAATTGCGTGGATCGATGCTCATGATGTCAATCACTGGAGTGTCTGGTCAAGACTCGATTATTTTACAGACCGCCGTCATATAGCTGGAATATTGCTGAGTGCGGCGTTAAACAACAAACAAACAAAACTGATGTTGACGTTTTATATTTGCGAACCATGAAACATGATAAGTATTATACACAATGTTTGGCGTTGTCATTCTAATCATATTTAAAAGATATGGTGGACACGCAGGTACGCTCATTGAGAAACAATTTGTCATATTACAGTGAGCAAAGGACGCTACAAAGGGGCAGCTGGAGTGAGTGAGTGAGTATGGTTTTACACCGCTTTTAGCAATATTCCAGCAATATCACGGCGAGGGACACCAGAAATTGGCTTCACACATTGTACCCATGTCGGGAATCGAACCCGGGTCTTCGGCGTGACGAGCGAACGCTTTAACCACTAGGCTACCCGACCACGCAAGGGCAGCGAGAATTAAACGGGTGGAAGAAGTGAAGATGCAGATAAACAGAATGAGAAGATGTGGGATCGTCTTACCTTGGATGAATCAACAAGACCACAATGGCTCAGGAGGTGTGTTATTTCCTGGGCTCCCCCGGGAGCTGACACACCCACAAGTACACTCATAATCGTATCTAGGTCAATACCAGCACATTCCGTCCATCACGTTTCAATTCCATGAATCTTGTCTATTTCGGAATACGATTATATTCCAAATTTCAATCATTGGTAACAGGTGTTTGTGAAAACATACATCATGTACAAAGAAAACCACGCAGCACGGTGTTATGTTCAATAAATACATATTTATATGATGTTAATATAGTTCTTCTTGACCCGTGAAGTTCCGGGGTAAAATAGGTCTTCGGTAACACATGTTTGCCGTAAAGGGTGACTATGCTTGTCGTAAGAGGCGACTAACGGGATCGGGTGGTCAGACTCGCTGACTTGGTTGATGCATGTCATTTGTACTCCCCGATACTAATGGAGGAAATAAAGATTATTAATTTATAGTGGACTGTAGAGGATTATTTCAAACTTATTGTTTCAATACCGTTTGGTCATACTTTGTTACCACTTCTTAGTATTAAGATACACGTATTTAGGTTTTAATATACAACTAAAACAGTCGTAAAAAGAAATTAATTAAGTATCTGAATCATTAATATATCTTTGTATATATTCAATTTAAAACAAAACATAACATATTGCTTATGATCTGTAGGTTGTAGGTGATTCAATTTTATACATGTACATAAATTAACATTTACGGTCGAAGAATAAATTGAAACTTATTCAGGGTTTCGAGGAAGGATGATTTGCATCAATACATGTCAATAGATGTATTAGGTTGACTTCGACATGTACAAAAGTTCGAGGTAGCCGTTTTTTAATGAATGTAATTAGTCTATCGATTTCATATTGTTATGGTTTATAATTATTATTATTATTATTATTATTATGGTTTATTCGAATACAAAATATGTCACAAAGGAGATCAGATTACATCACATGCCTTTATTAATATATTTCGTAAAACAAATCTAAATTCATCTGAATGAACAAGGACATCGATTGTGGGTATGAAGAGTAACTACGTTATATCGAGGTGATTAGTCCAGTTAAAAACAGGTGTAATTTTCAATACCCTCGCTATATGAGGCTATTGAGTGTATGCAGTGTTTGAGATCCAGACGATTTATGTGAAGGATCCAAGGATTTGCCACAGACAATATATCACAAAATATATGATCACAATACAGATGTATGCCACAAAAGATATTCCCACATTATCCATCCCTCATCTATGCTCATACTGCCAATACAACATATACCCTGCAACAGTAATAATAATCATAATAATTATAAGAAGAAGAAGAAATAAAATAAAATAATTGATAACCTAACTTAAGATGTGTTGAAATGAAAATGTACTGTAACTGTCGATACGAGAAAAGAAATATCGCGTAAAAAAACGGGAGCATGAATATCGCGTTTCATCGTTGAATCGTGACAGCCTCCTTTAAGAGGTACACACAACTCCATGTTATATCATAACGCTGTCAGCGTCCTCGATGGGTAAGAGTTCATCTGTGGGAACCAAATGTGTTTAAGAAAACCGTGGACACACTCAAATAAAAGGAAATGCGCCCTACAAGCATGAGTGACGTTATATAAAGACGAACCATGATGTTTATTCATGCTTGAATATATTACCTGCAGATTGTGAGAAGGAGACGACTTTTGAATATGTTGATGTGTACGTTTCGGTGTGTGCAGTCGTTACATGGTGATGGTCATGCTGGAAATGCAACTTGGTTGTCATCATGGAAATTGCATAAATTAGTTGCAATGATAACTGTATGCCATGCTTGTTTATGCAACAAGCATGGTTTCAGGTTAGGCATCAAACCAGTTCGCTTATTGGTGATATAGTTCTTTTACAGGAAGACGTAACTAACTCTCAGTAACCAAGTCAAGAGGCTGTTAAAAAATTGTGTATATGTTATGACGGTTGAACAGTCCATAAACAAAGACAAAAACGTACAAAACAACTGTAGATATTTTCAGGTAAAAGTTGTAAAGATGGCAATTAATCATCCAGAAAACCACATTTCTGATTCTGCTCACCGGTTTACTGGGGGAAAGTTTAAAAGTTTTCAAAACTCAGCCCGCAACGGAATGTATGAGAAGTTTGAAAACAATCCCACGTTGTGATGAACGGTAACGACCATATAGTATGTCCAATATAACTAATAATGACCATCATAATAAAAAAATACTCACTCTTTTTATCGTATCGCCCCCTGATTTTCCCCAAAGATCGTAAGATCCCTTTGTATTCGCCATGACCTTGTCTTTGTCACAGCCCGACTGAACGAGTCCAAACCGTGCGTTCTTAATGGTCTTGCAAGGCCGGGCGTATTCAGTAATTGACATCATTCGGAGATCTGCCTTTCACGCATGACATACATATTTACTTGACGTTGCCTGGGGCACTGTCGTACCACATGGCAGAATGTGCGAATTGTGCCTTTCAAAGGAGAATAATTTGTAAAGCAATTACGTACTAGTATATAGAGGTTATCACGCGAGTGTGTTTGGGGATGGTAAATATCCTGCATTAGGAATAAACATTGTATTTAGCGAGCCTTGCCCTTTGATATTTGCATCTCTATCCGCATATGACCCAAACGGATATCGTTTTTATCCGTTGGCTTTATCCTGCCGTGAAACCTACTCATATTATGATAAAGTCTTTTATCTTGACGCTGAATAACCAAGAACAAACGATAGACTGGTAAGTAGAAAGGGTAATTCGTATTGACAACAGTGTGATAAATAGCTACATAAAGAGAACAAGATTCTTTTTGTTTTCTACGTTTACGTCCGTGTTACATTTTCACAGATTTGCTACACAAACCACCATTAATCTGAACAGCGTGTGGTTTATGTGAGTAATTGAATGAAACGTCAATTCGTAAAGCGTTTGCAAGTGTCAAGTTAAACGGTTAAATAGTTCACATTTTCCCATAAACGTTTGCCTTTAAAATTATTCGCCTCAAAATGAAAGTGAAATATCGTAAGTCGCCATTTGACCCAATTTGAACTGATCGCCCCTTCCGGACGTACATGAACGTCTTATACAAGTGACGTTATACGTTCCCCATCATTAGTTAATCGGGATATAATATATCCGGACGTTTTTACTTAAAATGCTGGATAAAGTAGCGTAATATATCAAATATCATGTGTCTATTGCTACATCGCAAAAAAAACCTTTAACAGTTCAGGGGGCACGGGTGGCCCAGTCGTCTAAGGCGCCGCGATTCGCTATGCAGAGTAGCGTCCCTTGGGCACGCAAGAAACCTATGATTGTGGGTTCGAATCCCGTTCGCCCCGATGTTTCTAGGTTTGTCAGCACCATATCCGTGCTCGTGGGTTTCACCGAAGTGGTAAACGTCTGAGACCTGCATCACTTCGGGCTTTCCTCCCACATTAAGCTGACACGCCGCGATATGACTGGAATACTGTTAAAAGCGGCGTTAAAAACCCAACTACTCACTTGAACAGTTCGAATCCAAGATCAGTTGACATAACCAAAAAACGTTTCAAAGTTGCGTTGAAACACAAATCGGTGATCCACTTTCATGAACAGGGATTTGACGTTTTCGGAGTCCCCAATGGCCATGGTCATGTCAGGAATCTCTCCGCGCAGTCCATTAGAACCTGACTGAATGAGCTGCGTTGCCTTGTCATGACTGGCTTATTTTTTTCGACTTTGTCAAGTTTTCTCTACACAGCTATTGAGGGAGAGAATCAAGAACTGGAAACAACTGTATTGTTCCCCTCACGTTGTTGGCCTTGAGTTATGAAAACCACGCTAAGTTTTCAAACAAACAACTACTTGTACATATTGGAAATCACGACCAAAACGTAAACACCATCCCATTTTGTTTAACATATCAAATACAATAACGTCTACGCTAGTCTCGATATCAGCTGAAACACATTCCATTGGGATTAAAAAGGCGTTAAACGTGAACAGAATGTTTGTCCCAGAATATGAAAACATAAAACCTAACAACTTCCCTGAACCATATTAATTATGTTGTCAAGACGTATCGTATTTTTACAAATATTTTTCGTTGACGAATAATGCACTTATATTGCAATGTATTTGTAGCACAAATGATCTAAATGGAAAAACGCCAGTCATCACGGTTGAGTCGGTTCACTGATGGCGTTTGACACTGTAAGGAGCAGTCAAACTCCGTACACCGTCCACATCGTTGTACAGGTATGAGGTTACATCCCCTGTTGAAATGAGGATGAACAGTAGGCAGTGCCAGAGTGTTGAATCATGTCTTGATGCAGTGTTCTGAAAACCGGATTTTCGCTTCAGTCTCCACTCCTTTGCATGCGTCACACTTCAACAAAAGTTGTATGCAGCCGTATAAAATGCGCAATACAAATACAAGGCTAAGAACAGATTTCAGCATTTCCATTTAAGCTATGATACATTCACATTAACATCATGTGTATCACTGTTGAACCATTAAGAAACTTTCTCGCGAGATTATGAGAGATCTCCCTACGCGGGAACTCAGTGAGAACTCAACGAGAACTGAGAGAATATAGCTTAACAAATCATAACTCATAACAACGTAAACGTGATATTAGATTTCTAAACTGGTTTACCTACTCCAGAGTCCACAAACTTTTCAAACCGATGTGATTTGTTTGTTTTGTTTGTTTGTTGTTTAACGTCGCACTCAGCAATAATACAGCTGTATGACGGCGGTCTGTAAATAATCGCGTCTGGACCACACAATCCAGTGATTGACATCTTGAGCATCGACCCACGCAATTGGGATACGATTACATGTATCACCCAAGTCAGCGAGCCTGACCACCCGATTCCGTTAGTCGCCTCTTACGACAAGCACAGTCGCCTTTTACAGCAAGCATGGGTTGCCGTAGACCTATTCTATCCCGGATCTTCAGGGGCCCAAACCGATATGATATTGCGAACCAACACAGACTTTGCTAAAAGCCTCTTCACATAGATCTCAAACCCATCTCGAATTTCCACACACGACAGCATCATTTCAAAGGGATCACCCGAGATGATTTAATGACGAGAGGTCAGTGTCAAGGTCAGCTGACCCCGGGGACAACACAGGCAGCATTAACAACAATTAGAGGATTTCGTACAGGTAGAAGTATTAGGTTGCTGAAAGAGAACCTGATGCGTGACATGCCGGGGACAAGTAACATCATGGAACCGAAATGTCCCCCGCTATAGCGCCACGATAAGTGAACTTGTAACAGGAAGAGCTTGTTCTGGTTCGTGAATCAAAAAGGTGCAAAGCTAGGTTTCACCTTCAAAGGACTGGGCCCACCCGCACAAAGCGAACTTGGCGCCACGATGATCGTAATTCAAATTTTCTAACATAGATTTAAGATAGTCGTAGCGCTAAGATCGCTTTGTGCAAGTGGGCCCTGGTCAAGTCTTTCCAGTACAGTTGACAATCTGGAATTAAATAAATATGACATGTTGCTTGTCAGCACGATGAGCGATGGTATCCCATGCTCTGACCTTTACAGAGAGTTTTAAAACCACCTACTCACTTGCACTTACTTTAATGGATCGGGTGTACATGTTTAGTGACTTGGTTGACAGCGTGGCGTCGTGTCCCGACCAGGAGATCATTGCTCATGATACTGATCACTGGATTGTCTGGTCTGACTCAAATGTTTACAGGAATAAGGGAACAAACAAATACACACTAGTTATGAAAAATATGCGAGAGGCGGATCTTACTGCTGGAGCGGGACATGTTTACCCATTTTGCGAACATCTCTCTCTCTCTCACTCTCCCCCCTCTCTTTCTCCCTCTCTCTCTCTCACTGTCTCTCCTCTCTCTCTCTACCCTCTCTCTCTCCCGCTCTCCCTCACACTGTCTCTCCTCTCTCTCACACTCTCACTGTCTCTCTCTTTCTCCCGCTCTCTCTCACAGTCTCTCCTCTCTCACCTTCTCTCACTCTCTCTTTCTCCCGCTCTCTCTCACACTGTCCCTCCTCTATCTCACTCTCTCTAACTGTCTCTCTCTTTCTCCCGCGCTCTCTCACACTGTTTCTCCTCTCTCTCACTCACTCTCTCTCTCCCCTCTCTCTCACTGTCTCTCTCTTTCTCCCGCTCTCTCACACTGTCTCTCCTCTCTCTCTTTCTCCCGCTCTCTCTCACACTGTCTCTCCTCTCTTACTCACTCTCTCCCCTCTCTCTTACTGTCTCTCTCTTTCTCCCGCTCTCTCTCACACTGTCTCTCCTCTCTCTCACCCTCTCTCTCACTGCCTCTCTCTTTCTCCCGCTCTCTCTCACAGTCTCTCCTCTCTCTCACTCACCCCCTCTCCCCTCTCTCACTGCCTCTCTCTTTCTCCCGCTCTCTCCCTCTCTCTCTCCCTCTCTCACTGTCTCTCTCTTTCTACCGCTCTCTCTAACACTTTCTCTCCTCTCTCTGACTCACCTCTCTCTCCTCTCTCTCACTGCCTCTCTCTTTCTCCCGCTCTCTCTCACACTGTCTCTTTCACTCTCTCCCTCTCTCACTGTCTCTCTCTTTCTACCGCTTTCTGTAACACTTTCTCTCCTCTCTCTCACTCACCTCTCTCTCCTCTCTCTCACTGCCTCTCTCTTTCTCCCGCTCTCTCTCACACTGTCTCTCATTCTCTCTTTCACTCTCTCTCTCACTGTCTCTCTCTTTCTACCGCTCTCTCTAACACTTTCTCTCCTCTCTCTCACTCACCTCTCTCTCACTGTCTCTCTCTTTCTCCCGCTCTCTCACACTGTCTCTCACTCTCTTTCACTCTCTCTCTCACTGTCTCTCTCTTTCTCCCGCTCTCTCCCTCTCTCTCTCCCTCTCTCACCGTCTCTCTCTTTCTACCGCTCTCTCTAACACTTTCTCTCCTCTCTCTCACTCACCTCTCTCTCCTCTCTCTCACTGTCTCTCTCTCTTTCTCCCGCTCTCTCTCACACTGTCTCTCCTCTCGCTCACTCACTCTCTCACTGTCTCCCTTTCTCTCTCTCACACACACGCACACACATATTGATGCAAGTGTATTTTAGGCTTTGTCGGAGGGAATCCAAGTACTGTAGATATGGCTCCTTTATTTTAAGCTTAACGGTAATACACGGTAACCACCCATGAAGTTGGAAACCCCTTGGTTGATGATGTCAGCATCGAACCACCAACCCAGCTTCAGGATGCTTTAAACACGAGACCCCTAAGTAACATCACGATCCGACACCATTTTAACCACCCAATCTCCTAATCACCCAATCAGCTGATTTATACTAGAAAGGTTCAAAAAGCGAAACATTCAACAGGCACATACTGTTGACGTACCATATTCTCTATAAACACTGCGCTTATATAAAACCCTTTATATACAAG